GTGTAAATGGAAACCATTAGCTGAGATATCCTACTGAAAGTTACAAACAAAATTGTAAAACATAACTGTAGAAGTATAACTTGTGATGGATATTTTTTAATATTATAGTGCTTTACGTCTGGGTTCTATAAAAGGCACTACTTAGAGCACTTAACACTTGGGAGAAGGAAGGGAAGAGGGATGGGAGGCCTTTCATTACTGGGAGGGGGTAGGGAGAAATTAGGCAATCATGCTACAAGAAGGTCACCTAAGCTCTCCTCGAGGAGCATTGCGTAGTGAAAAAGCACATGTAAAAATTCATAGGGTACTTGCCCGAAAAAATTGCACTGGCTGGGAATCAAACTGCGGTTTCCCACGTGCTGACCCACGACCTAGCTGACACAGCCACTGCGCGCTCTGATGTATACTCTTGTATGAATGTTTATGTATGAATCAAGTAAGGTTTCTGTCGAAATATAGTTAACAAAGTCTGCATTAGCCAATAACTTATTGTTAAGATGCAATGTAACAATAATGTGGGCCTAGTAGGCCTTTTTTTATTAATTTAGTTGCGCAAACGTACGAAATGACTTTTTCAAAAATATTTCTGCTTACTTATATCATGTCATATGGATAATAGTTTTGTATGGCATCATCTGGAAGTAATACTTAGTATATCATTAGGTGTAAATAATTCAGAAAATTTTTTAATAACTTTCTTTGTTTCTTTTTATTTTTGGTTCTATGTAACAGTTATTAATAAATCAGGTTTTCTGAATTTTTGCATTATTGCCATTGCATCTTGGTAACGTTTTTGCATTTACCTTGCACCACTTTAATGAGTGTTTAAGGTAATATACATAGGTGTGGGTGTGTGCGTGTGTGTGTAAGTGAGTTAGTGAGTAAGTGAGTATACATTCCAACGTAACACGTCTATATATACATATGCATATGGTGGTCCTACGCCATGATCGGAAAGTTTCCGACGCATACCTGTCAGAAACTTGTCATTAATATGTTGAACTGGTAATTTAATAATGAAAGTCAGAAACGTCATGACATCGTTTAAAAGTAGAAAAATTAAATTTGCGTGTTCATAAACTTGAAAAAACATTCATTTTACTGTACAAAGATAGAAAGTATTAATTAAAAATGTACTTTTTTTGAACTCAATGTTAATACAAGTTCTAAATTACTGTGTGTTTAAAGTTTTCTCTTACTGATAATATGTAAGGTATTTATAAACATTAGAGTACAAACTTAAGATAAAGACTCTGTTTTTTAATTAAATATTAATTTCTCTATCGTTTAACTGGTCAGTAGTCACAGACGTCAGTGTTGTAAGAGTTGGAAACTAATGTATCAAAGTCATGTCTCACACTTGTGTGATATATTACAAAATATCTTACTAAACAGAAACATGGTACAGTACCTTGGATTTTCAGACCTACCTACTACTGGATATGCTTGTTTACAAATGTACAAATAAGTATTATTAGACCTAGCTACACAATATTGCGTTCAGGAATTAATTTACCTATTGTGCAATGTACAAACATTTCCTGACTGCAAGATTATAAAGAAATGCTTAGACAATCTCTATTTCTCACTACAGTCCTTTTTTTAGTTCAAAATCGTGCAGCCAGATAGTAAACCGTAACCATTGCTTCGTATAGATCCATACAAAAGTCGGTGCTACTCATAAATGCTGTTTTATATTAAAGAGAGATACTAATCATAGTATTTATACGTTTGTTTTACATGTAGCTTCCAGCTTACTGTTATCTGGGGCCTGATTAAGTTCTTCGATATACGCAATAGCTTTCGAAATTTACAGTCACAATATATCTTTGAACATCTAAAAGTGAACTTTCTGTTACGTTTTCGTCATGAAGTTGGTGGTGTAACGAGAAATTTCGAGCCGTATTTCGTATATCAAAGTGCGCAATTAGACCCCTGATCTTCCACAATTATATTCTCAAGACAATACATGAAGATTTTATAGCAGGCTTAACTAGAACTGATGATTTATTAGTCTAAGGCTGTACATACATTAACAAATTGACGTGTAAAGTTATAAGTTCACTCACTTAATGACTTAACCAAGTGTTTTAATGCAGCACTTATTTTTTAAATAACTACAAAATTTAATAAGTTTTAGCTTAATAAAAGTTAGAACTTTTATTTTTTTAACTTTTAAAGATAAGAATACAGTGATATTGGTCGGTAGCCTTTTGTATTATATTCGTAATCCCTCTTATAAATAGATAAGGTCACTACGTTCATAGAATTATTTCTCTAAAAATAAGTTTATCAGTTAAGTTGCAAAAAGAATTAGCCAAACGCTCTTTTGTTTTATTTAGAATACTTGTGTGCGTTGTATCCACTTAACCAACTTAGTTTTTCCGGTACATGGTTAAATTAAGTATCTTAGCATCATCGCATGGATTTACGTACTACATAGATTTGTCGGAACGCATTTTCTCTTTGAACTTTAAGTTGACAATGAGTTTTTTTTAATTTATAACAATAATATAAGTGTTTTTAAATTAAAATAGCTATATGAAATATTTAGAACGAAACTTATGTTAGGTAGTAAAACTTAATAAGGTCTTTTAAGTTTATTTGTTTTAATATTGTCATTTTAGTATCTAAAAATGCAAGCATTAAGTTATAAATGCATTTGATTTTTTTTGAGTTGTTAACTCAGTTTAAAAGGAATAACTTTTTAAATAAAAAAAACTTTATCTCTAAAAGAAAAAGTTTTTCAATTAGTTCTTAAGCTACTGTACAAAGAAGTTTACTTAATCTTAAAGGTTAAAATTAATCTCAATGAATGTTAAATAGTCCTTAATAGAACATAAGCGTTTTTAAAAAAAAAAAGCTCATGATATAAGATAATAAGAAATGATCTAAACACTATTACTGAAACGCAACATAATAGGACATATACCCAAAATACTAAGTTGGCACTAAAGTTTTACTAATACTTGCAGTAACTACGCTGCCCTACAGCACTTTCCTAAGACATTTTTTTTCACAATTATTTATTAAAAAAAAAATGTAGGATAAACTTTAGGTGTAAAAAAGCTCATAAGTTTGAATTGCCCGAGCTTTTATAGCGTATGTCACTTGTTAAGAAAAATTTCCGTAAACAGTTAGCTTTTAATGGAAATCATACATATTTGACTAATGAAAGACAAGTACAAGAAAAAACGGCGTTGTTTTAAAAATCTAAAATGTGTATTCTAAAAAGGTTACTGCAGTAATTACTGAACTAAGTTATTGAGCTTTGTCCTTATAGTTAATTGTTTAAAATATAACGTGACTCACTCACAAAGTGTGATTCAATACAAAATTTTGTTTTTTTACAAGCTTAAGTACTTAGCAACTCCAATTATTTTTTAAGATGTGCTTATAATCATGGCACTATCTGTATTTATAATTTTATAACCTAGTGACTTAGTAACAAGGTCAGTGAAGTTATCGACCATTTAGCAATATTCAAAACTCTTGGTTTATGAAAAATTATAACGCACGTTTGCTTAGTGAAAAGTTTCACTTTATAAATGGATTTTTATATCTACTAAATTTGTAATAAATAAATGAAGATAGATATGAATAAGGGTTTACTGAAATATTAGTAAGATTGTCTTTTTTTTTCTATAGCCTACTTTGTATGCAACTTTTAATAATGTGTGCATAAAAATTTAATTTTAATATTTTGGGGTAAATGCTTATTCAAAAAATACATTTGTGGCCTGTGGTCTGCTTATTGTTTTAAGTGATGAATTTTTATTATAATTTTTATTGTAAATGTATCAACTGCAAATCTTTTAAAAAATATACAAGATTTAGTGGATCATATATTATGATGCCGATGCTCTTAATATACTTTGACAATAAAGCAGTTGGCAAATTTACTGGTTACCATTATATATCATCAAAAGTAAGAATCACTTTTTTTAACTGTTTTAAGAACTATCTAAGGCATCTTACGAACATAGAAAGTACTCAACAGCATTATAGTACGGCTTGGAATGAGAATGTATTAGAAAAAGGAAACTCCAATAGTGCTGCACTTCAAAGTGGCACTACTATTTTTTACGAAACTGATTCTTTAATTAATTTCATTTAATAGATAAATTGAAAATTTTGTACAAACATTTAAAAATGTTAAAATTATGGTTGTCTACTAAAATTTATGAGTATTGTCAGACATTGTAAAATCTGCATGCTGACTGAGCCCTGTACTTCAAGTAACGTTTGTTTACGTAGAGCCACTTTGTCTTCCGACTTTTTGTAAGGGATATGGAAAATGAGACAATCAAAGAAAGTTTCTAAGTTTTTGATGGATTTTTGTGACACTACTTATTAGTTGCTATAAAAAAGTAGTCTAAGTATGTTTATCGTAAAAATTTTTCAGAACCCTACATAATTCAACAACATTTTAAGAACAGGTCTGATCGTTTTAAATTACCTTTATCAACTTACAGCAAACAATTTAATTTTGTTAAAAAAAGCATCATGTATTTAGACACAACTGATTTTGAAAGTGATTATTACATATATATGGTTTTCAGTAAAGAATAGGAGAACATTTATATGACAAGAACAAAGATTTCTCAATAATTAAATTTTTTTTATTTTTAGTTATCTATCTCATAGCAATTAAGTAGCCCATTCAATAAATAATGCCATGTATTGTTGAAAAAAAATTTAAAAAGTTTTATCAACTTATCTTGATTAAAACTATGTAAGCTTTCATAAAAATTTAACTTTTCGTTGTTATCTAGTTAATAATCTCACTATTAATCTTGTTGTTAAGTTATTGTTTAGTACTGAATCAAATAAAAGGAAAAAAATTTTAATACACTAATAAGTATGGAGTGCCAAGATGAAGACTACATAGAAAAGGATTCTTATTTAAGGCTCACTAAAAAATTTTCTAGTACAAATCAATCTTACATTTATTATTTTCTATTTCATATACAATGACTCTCAAAGGCGATGCGCGGGAACTCTGGAGACCTTCAGAAATCAATACTATCAGTATTCCAAGTCTACTCGTTAGAAAAATGGTTTTTTATGCCCATAAGATAGGTTTGCTAAAATTAGTTAAATGTCATAATAAAAAGAATCTAGTTATATCAGGAAATAATCTTCATAACCCTTATTTTTTGTTTATTGATTAACCAGATGCCAAAGCATTTTAATACTCTAACCTTACTTTTAACAACTAAAAGTAATACATAATAGGATAAAATATAAAAACTAATAGTTACACTACAATTTGTAGCAATAATATTGAAGGTCATATACATTACAGCGAGAAAAGAAAACTGTTGTTTTAAAAACAGAATGGGAACAAAGTTGGCTTCATGTAAGTTTATGGCAAAAACGATTATTTGTTTACTTATACTTTTAAAGCAAATGCCAGTTTAAGACTTTTTTTTTCACTATTATTTTTGTTAAAAATATGTTGTAAAGAACTCTGCTTATACTTTATAATTTTTATACATGGTAAGATTTATCAGTTTTATAATACTTTCTTAAGTTTATATTAAATTCCCGTAAAATTTACTTCTTAACAAAATAAAAGGTCATGTTAATTTGATGTGTTAACTGAATACACATCAAAGAGTCTCTAAAGCTTCTTTACAGGTCCAATCAATTGTATTCTTTAAAATGAACTACTAGCTTTACAAACTTATATTACAAATATCTTTAGAAGATCAAGTTTTGCTTCATTTTTCAGTGTAAAATACCATTTGAGTAACTTATATAGTATGATGCTATCTAGTTCTTGTACATTAACAAAATCAGTGCTAACTATTAAGGTTTTCAGTGGTTTGAAATGTAAACGTTACTTTAAATCAATGCAAATAATAACTTACAGCTTTAATACGCGTAGGATGTAACAAGGCATTAATGTATTTTATTTTAAATAAACATTTTGTTTTAGTCCAAAGTAATTGTCAGTTAAAATTTATTTAAATTCAAGTACTTTTCAGTAGAGTACTATAAGTTTTATACATAAGATATGCTGCACTGGAAAGTAGAACAGAATTGGAGCTTTTTTAGATTTTGGTCTTACAAATTTGTAAAGCTAACGATACATATACAATTAATAGCTACTATAGACAAATTTCAACTTATTTAGGAATTATAACATAACATATTAAACGAACTTGACAAAATTTAATCTTCTAACCATAAGTTCATAGAAATTATTTAATTTCTTAGAAAAATTCTTTCCTTTTGCATAAATAAAAAATATAATTAATATAGTAATTTTACTCATGTAAAAAAATTACCCATTATGATTAAAAATATTTTTCTACTATTTCTAAGTGGTAAATATATTGAAAGAGAAGCTCGAATTTTGCGTAATTATGATTATAACGAGTGTTCAAGAAAAATGAGATATAAAGGATGACAGTAGATTTCTGATTACAATTCAGAACAAATAACCTGACAGCAGACAGTGACTGCTCATCTCAAGTACATTTAGCATAGGAGCATCTTGCACGGGATTAAACGTTCTCATAAAAATTCTGGTGGTAGCAGAGGCTAGCTCTTACTGCTCAGTCTACCGTTTGAGGGGTAAAAGTTAAGAGAGTCTGCAGTTTCGGAGCCTCTGGGTCTTTTTATTAGGATTAGTGGACCTCAGTGACGTGCTGGTTGGAGCACAACGCAGAAAAACTTGCCGGAAAAAAATCTTGAAGAAAAAACAATAGCTGAGAATCTAATTGGCTAGAACTGCTCCAGTCTAAGCTGGCTGACCTCTTCTTGTCCCTTCTTTCTCTTTTACATCCAAATTTTACAAAATTTCACTGTAACTTAATATTAATTTTAAAATAAAATATAAGTTATATTCACTAATGCTAAACACCGTTTATTTACTTTACTCAACTCTTTGCAAAAAGAGTGGTGAAAATTGCTTTTTAATTCAATTAATGCTTGGGTGAATAAGCGATTGGCGTGTTACGATATATCAACTAACACTAATACTTATACAGCAGTAACATTGGCCAAGGCCATAATAACTTATAATTATAATATTATTGGTAGTATTTATAATAATTACAGTAATTATAATAACAATAATAATATCAATAATAATAATAGTAATAATAACAATAAAAATTGTTAGGATACTAATGGAAATAATAGTACTTTGCCTGTCACGAGTTAACATAATAAGATTGATAGGTAGTTTCGAATGTTTATAATGTTGCAAAAATAATGCAAAATTTCGGTAGAATTTAAGTTAACATATTTTTAAAGAGCGAGTCAATTCGTGGCACCTTAGAAAATAAGAAATTCCGTTACCCCTATTGAAGGTAGGCGTACAGACCCTCTCTTTCTTGACATCTCTGAGTCAAGAAAAAAGGAAGTGTTAACTCTCCGTTTTCCTTTACATTTGGAAAACAGTGTTAGCAATTAACTAAGTTACAAATTAGACTATTGCAGTATGCTGATGAAATTATTAGTACGATGCAAAAAGAGTTACTCAGTTAATCATGAGCTTGTGAATTTTAATGATAAAAATCAGATTATCCCTTAAAAGTTAGTAAAGTTGTTTACCAGGCTTGTCGTAGTTAAGGTGTAATGTAGTTGTTTGCTAGTGATGTAGTGTGTACTGGTTGCTAATTTCTCATCATGTGTAGCGATTCTGGCTTTCTTTTTAATTTTTGCTTAATTACATGTATTAATTCTAAGCTACACTAATATTTAACTTTTTATTATTCGACCCTTATCTAAAATCATGTTCGCTTTTAATGTTACCCTTCAGTTTAACTATTTCCAGTAAAAAAATTGCATCTACAGTTGCGGAAAAATATTTTGTTTTTCATTTCTGGTCAGCATAGGCCAGCGTGCATGTACATGAATTATCATTGTACTGCACGTATGAGTAACTTGCAGGTAATTCACCTCTATTCAGATGCACGTTGGTCCTGGCTCAAGTGCTTTCAGAACAACATTCTTAGGGTTGAGCAGGAAAGAAATAATTTGTTAATAAATAATTCTAATCTACCAACAATACAATGTTATAAAAAATTATGATACAAGACTATATGTTGTATGTACATTTTAAAAATATTTAAATGTAAAAAACATCATTAGAAAAAGTAAGAAAACTGAGAAACAATTGATTACTTACCAAACAGGTCCATCATTTTTTAGATATTTATTTTTAATTACATGTTGTTACCCAATTTTCAAGTTTTAAATATTTTTGGGGGTTCGCACGCAGAGCATAAATATATAGTGTGTGTATGTGTGTGTGTATTTATAATGACTAATACAATTAAAAAAATGACCGTTAATCCAAAATTATATTAACAAAAATAAGAATAGTTTGTTGCAATCTCATTACCAATAACAAAATTCTCGCTCTTTAAGTAATTGTTTTATGGGAACAATAATACTCCTTATAAGTGCATAAGTGCAAATACAAAGCCGACAAAATTCTTATTCATTCTACGAACCCAACTTCAAAGTATCCGTAACTCCTACTTTATTACACAGTAAAAAGTTTGCTATTGTCAATAACTCTGATGTACTGTACTTCAAGATAGATCCCCTCACCTATACGAGACAACTGACGATGTTTAAATTACAGCAATATTCCTAAAATATTGGTTAACTTTTTTTTCTTTGAAATAAGAGAAAAACTAACAAGCAACATTATGTTGTAACGTAAAAGCTGTAGGCCAAGGAAAAAATCTTAACACAATTGGTACAGTAAGACTTCTTCTTCTAATAGCAAAATGCCACAAGTGAACAAACTCCTAAATTAAATAAATAATTACAACTGTTGGAGAGAAAATGGTTGGAACTACCAGAAATCAACGGTTACAGTGATAAAATTAACGGAAAGAATCACGATGGAACTATGGACGAGACTTCAAGAACAGTGGCGCAGGAGCGTCTCTAAAATAGTTAATGGACAAAATCAGGACCACCCTTCGATTAGTATATCAAATAATCGATGGTTTTATGTCCTAGCTTTTAAAAGTCTTTTGAATTACACTTTTTTTAATTCGTGGAGAAGATCTCTCATATCTTTTCTTTTTTTAGTCCTTTTTTTACTACCCAAAATTAAAAACTGCCTTTCTTCTTTTTTTTTTTATTACAGCACACCCTGGCTTTTTCTTCTGATTTCCATTATTTACCCAAGTAACCATGACAGCTGATTCTACCGTGATGTGCAATTTATCAAACATCAATAGCAAAGTCGGTAACATAACCTTGCCTTCTTTCTAGACGCCATCAAACCTTGACAGAATTTTCCACGCAACAGCATGACTCATAAAAAATTTATTTGGGGACCATTTTCAAGTGATAATGATAATACCGATTTAAAAACTATTATTCAGATTCAATCTGCTAATTTTGTTTAAGGTAGCAGCTCAGTTAGGTCTATCGTGTGGCATACTGAGCTATAAAGTACGTGTAAGTTATGCAGTCTTTACTGTATATCTGTCATTGTCCCTCTAACGCAACTACACGATAGTTTTTAACTTTGGAAAGCTGAAATACAAAAAATGTACGGCAAGGCTTCTTGGGACTTGGCATTCAGTTTATTGATAATATCATTTATAACACACCTTTTTTTTAAAAGAATTAATCGTTCCGTTTAAAAGTTATAAATAATTTCGTTTAAAATCCTACCCCAATGAAGCGCTTTCCTATCTCTCACGTGTAACAAGATCAACAGTAAAACTTTCATATCTCCGAAACTACACGGCTAGGCATCTTTAAATTGAGACTCGTGATAACCTGTAGCAAACTTAAGCCATACGCAAAGTTTAAAAAAATTCATCATCGAGTCGTTTTACTAAACTACTACCTCAAATTACGGTAATTAATTAAGTTTTTTCCATTTTTTAATACTTTATCAGAATAAAAAAAGTTTTTTAGCTTTGATGTATGGTGTATAAAAAAATAAAAGTGTACAAGCTCGGTAATCGCCAAATATACTTCGAGAAAAATTGTAATTGATCTCACAGTATAAATTGTTCTATGAATGCTAAATTGAACTATCGTAAAATTTTCTAAAAAATCTTTGATAACACAGTGAAACATCGGTGTTTTTATATTATTTTTCTTTCCCCCTTTCTTCAAAGTTTTCTGAGCCAATTTTAAAAGAACTGAAAGCAGAGGCCAATGTTTAAAAAAAAAATGAATTACTGACAAAGATTGCTCGTAGTTGCGTTACTATAACCATACATGACTCACGTACGTGTGCGCTGGCCTTTGCTGACTGGGAATAAAAGGCAAGCAATGTACTTTTTGAGCAGAGAAATGAAATTATTGCAAAAACTAATAGATGAAAAAATTCAACTGTAAATAGCTGCACTAAGACATAATATT